GGTGTGTGTGTGTGTGGGTGTGTGGGTGTGTGGGTGTGCGGGTGTGTGGGTGTTTGGGTGTGTGGGTGTGTGGGTGTGTGGGTGTGTGGGTGTGTGGGTGCGTGGGTGCGTGGGTGCGTGGGTGCGTGGGTGCGTGGGTGTGTGGGTGTGTGGGTGTGTGGGTGTGTGGGTGTGTGGGTGTGTGGGTGTGTGGGTGTGTGGGTGTGTGGGTGTGTGGGTGTGGGCGTGGGCGTGGGCGTGGGCGTGGGCGTGTGCGTGTGCGTGTGCGTGTGCGTGTGCGTGTGCGTGTGCGTGTGCGTGTGCGTGTGCGTGTGCGTGTGCGTGTGCGTGCGTGCGTGTGTGTGTGTGTGTGTGGTGCGTGTGCGTGTGCGTGTGCGTGTGCGTGTGCGTGTGCGTGTGCGTGTGCGTGTGCGTGTGCGTGTGCGTGCGTGCGTGTGTGTGTGTGTGTGTGGTGCGTGTGCGTGTGCGTGTGCGTGTGCGTGTGCGTATCGTTTGCGTGTGCGTTTCCCTTAAATAATACATGCAGTTGTGCGTGTTTGCGGGCGTGCGTGTGCGCGTGCGTGTGCGTGTGCGCGTGCGTGTGCGTGTGCGTGGCGTGTGCGTGTGCGTGTGGTGTGCGTGTGCGTGTGCGCGTGCGCGTGCGTGTGCGTGTGCGTGTGCGTGTGCGTGTGCGTGTGCGCGTGCGTGTGCGTGTGCGTGTGCGCGTGCGTGTGCGCGTGCGTGTGCGTGCGCGTGTGCGTGCGCGCGTGTGCGTGTGCGTGTGCGTGTGCGTGTGCGTGTGCGTGTGCGTGTGCGCGTGCGCGTGCGCGTGCGCGTCGGGCCCCTTGCGGGCTACGCCCAGCAGCGCGATAGGATTGCGACACCAACCGCGGCGCAAAAAGGAGATAGGAAGCACCTACCCCAATGGGCGCCAGATCGCCTTTACAGAACCTCCACTCAAGGGGCCCCGCGCGCAGCCACCAAGGCCTGACACCGCCCAGCGGGCCCAGTTCCTGAACCACCTTAGGCCCGCGCGCACCTCAGGCGCGACCAGAACCCAGGAGCCCGAAGACCCAGGGCGGCCCAAGCGCGAACAACCGAAGACCCGAGCCCCCAGGATTAGGTGGCCAAGCTCGCACTCGAGATGGGGTGCAAATTGCTCAGCGGATTGTCGCGCCGAGCTCGCCTGCCCGTCTGAACAAACAGGCGCGCACTCGCTCCACGGTGGGAAAGGGCCAGGGCACACGGCGGCGAGGCTCTTCGCTCTGCGCGTGGCCGACGCGTGGGCCCTGCACTTCCTGCACAGAGTGTCCTGGCCTCGCGCGACCATCTCGGGGCCCTGGTAACATGCGATCGACCCCACCCCGCCCTCCACCCACCCATCTCGGCAGCGGCGAAGGCGACGCGCATGGGTAATTAATTGAGGAAGGAGGCATGTAGTCACTCGCCGCCGACGCAGCATCCGCCTGCCCTGCAAAGTCGGGGTTGGCGCGCGGCGTCGGCTCACCACTGCCCGCCCAACAGGCCTGGGCGCCAGCGCCGGTCCTCGCCGCGGCCAGGTTCTCCTGGCGCGCGCGCTAGACGAAACACATCTGCTGGCGGGGGCCACCCTGCCTGCTCCTCGCCGCTGCACGGCCTGCCGCGACCTTTGCCTCCTGCGCGGCAGACGTCTGGCCGCCCGCCTGCGTCTCCTCAGTCGTTGGGCCACCACCTGCCTCCGACGGTTCATTCTCCTCCAGGCGCCCAGGCTCGCTGTACCTCACGCGCGCCGATCCTCTTCGCTAGCTCGCTCGGCCCCTACATGACGGCCCGCGGCCTCTTGCGGGGCAGCCGCGTGGCAGCCTTGGGCGCGGGGCCTTGGCCAACGGCATCGGCCCCGCGGGCCGCAGCCGCCGCGGCTGCTGCTCGCGCCGACGCCAGCCCGACTGGGGGGGGCCTGCATGGCCGCGGCTGGACCGACAGGTTCAGGCTGGGCGGACGCGACGGCTAAGTCTGCCAACGGCGGCGGGCCAGCCGCACCCTCGCGCCCCTGGCAAGCTGTTTCGGCCAACGGGGCGCCCGCCGCCCCCGTGCCCGCCGAGCGTCGGGGCCGCAAGGGCCAACTGCGGAGGGCCACCCGCGCCCCGACACGCTTGACGGGCTGCTTCCGCCAACGGGGCGACCTCGAGCCCGCGCCCGTTCTTCGCCACTTGGCACGGAGGCGGCGGACGTCTGGCCACCCGCGGCCGTGTCCCACCAGGAGAAGGGGGGAGGAGGAGGAGGAGGAGGAGGAGGAGGAGGAGGAGGAGGAGGAGGAGGAGGAGGAGGAGAAAGAGGAGGAGGAGGAGGATGAGGACGACGAGGAAGATGAGGGCGACGAGGAGGACGACGAGGACGGGGAAGAGGACGGGGATGAATACGAAAAGCATCGGGACGAGGACGACGACGAACGACGACGACGACGACGACGACGACGACGACGACGACGACGACGACGGCGACGGCGACAGCGACGGCGACGGCGACGACGACGACGACGGCTGCGGCGACGGCGGTGGCGGCGGCGATCAAGGTTGCGACGACGACGGCGACGGCAACGACGACGACGACGACGACGACGACGACGACGACGACGACGACGACGACGACGACGACGGCAGCGACGGCGACGGCGACGAGGACCACCGCCACCACGACGGCACCCAGGGCGACGACGAGCACACCGGCGCCGCCCAGACTGGCTGGACATCCACATGCGTGCGGGGCTACGCCCGATTAGTATCGCCGTTTGGGCTAACGGCGGGGCCCAAGCGGCGAGCTGTTTAGTGTTTTTTTTCATATAACGGCCGTCATCAGCTCCGACCCCCACCCCAGATGACGTCACGTTCCGTGCTGGCGGCGTCCGCTACTGCCTAGGGATGACCGAGGCCAAGTAGGAACAGCATGTAGGTGCGATCTGCACCACAACGCCTGTGTACACCAGTGTGCTCGAGTGCACCACTGCGCGCGTGTACGCCACAACGCCTGCGTACACCGCAACAGCCTTGTGCAACGCAGCGCCTGTGTACACCACGTTGCTTACGTGCACCACAGCGATTGTGTACACCACAGCGAATGTGCACACCGCAACAATCATGTGCAACGCAGCGCCTGTGTACACCACGGTGCTCGCGAACACCACTGCGCGCGTGTACACCACACCGCCGGCGTACACCGCATCAGTCGTGTGCAACGCAGTGCTTGTGTACACCACAGTGCTTGCGTGCACCACAGCACAGCGCCTGTGTGCACCACACCGAATGTGTACACCGCAGCATCCATGTACAACACAGCGCTTTTGTACACCATAATTCTCGCGTGCACCGCAGCCGCTGCGGTGTACACCAAAACGCCCGTGGACCCCAAATCGCCTGTGTACACCAAAACGTCTGTGCACACCAAAGCGCCTGTGTACACCGCAGCATCCGCGTGCAACGCAGCGCTGGTGTACACAACGCCTGCGTGCACAGGACATGTAGAAGGAGCACGTACGTGAGGACATGTTGCGGACAGCTAAACAGCACGCCGAGGAAATGCTGCTTATAGAATGCGATGTGTTTCCCTCCTCCGTCTTCCTCATCATGTTCCTCGCCCACCTCCTCCTCATCCTTCTCCTCCTCCTCCTCCTGCGCCTCCTGTTCCTCCCTCACCCTTCCCCACGTCGTGCGGGTCGGCGCTACAGCGCACGTGCGCATCTCAGCGCGCACCGCAGAATAATCGATTGTCTCAGTCCACTTGGTTCTCCGACGGCCAATTCTGCGGGAGCACTTTGGTCGCAGATGCGACGAGTTCGGATGATGCGGGAGGACTCGGGAGGATTCGTAGATTTCAGCGGCACTCCTTTTTCCAAGAGGATGCCTCTTCCAAGTCCTGAATCCAACAAATGTTCCCTGTGGAGTCCACAGGCGCTCCATGTTGTCATGAGGATCCCCTCTAAAACTCGATATAAATACAACAGTGGTGCTCTGTTGCACACGGTCACTGTTGCACACAAGCGCCGTAGTGGACACAGGCGCTGTGGTGCACGCGGGCACTGTGGTGTACGCTGGTGCTGCGTCGCACACGGCTGATGTGGTGTACGCAGGCGCTGTGGTGCACACGAGCGCTATGTGCACGCAGGCACTGTGGCACACACTGGCGCTGTGTTGGACGCGGCCGCTGTGGTGTACATAGGCGATGTGGCGTAGGTGTATACAGGCGCTGTGGTGCACGCAAACACAGTGGTGTACACAGGCGCTGTGCTGCAGATCGCCACCTACACGCTGTTGCTACCCGTCCTCGGCCATTCCTGGGCATTCCCAGACGCCGCCAGCGCGAAACGCGACATCATCGGCCCCCCCCGCCCCAGATGACGGCCGTCGTCGGCCCTGTTCAAACTGAACAAAAAACCCGCCTGACGGATGGCCCCCACACCAGTGTCCAGCACGGGGACGGGGGATGCTCCCGCGGCCCGGGTTGCTGTCGCGGCCGTCGGCGTCGCAAGGCCATCAGCGCCGAAGGCGGCGGCCACGGCGGCCTGGGCGCCAACTGCATGCACGGTCTGCTGGGCACGCTGGGCAACTGCCGCCTCCTCGGCCTGGAGCCGCACGGAGAGCACTTGCGCCTGCTGCCAGGGGACTGGCCAGCGACGACGGCGCCGAGGAAGGTCCATCTGCTTAATGGAGGCGCCCACGGTGGGCTGGAGCTGCCCCGCCTTTAAAGCCCTGTAACACCGGCGGCGGCGGGGCCCCACGCAGGATGTCTACGCGCTGCTGTTGGAGCTCCAGGAGTTCCACCTCCAGCTTGGCGATTCGTGCCTCCTGCTCCTCGGCGATCGCGACGGCTGCTCTGGCGTGCTCTCGTTTCTCCTCCGCCAATTTCTTGCCTTTGTCCATGCAGATGTAGGCCCTGTCCATGGAGTCTGAGATACTTTGGAGCCTGGCGGCCAACGACCTGGCCTGCTGCATCTCGGCGCGGATGCGGTCCCTCTCCTGTTTGTGCAGCCCGATGTGCTGCTTGATGTGATCGTTCCCGCAGGTGCCGTCTGCGGGGAGGAGCTCCTCGAAAGTGCGGGTATATTTCTCCACCTCGGCGAATTTGCTCTTGTGCTTGGCGGCGGCGGCATCCGCGCCAGGCTCAGCGCCACCTCCCATGGCGACGTCGGCTGCGGCGCCTCCAGCTTGGCCGCTCGCCAGGAGCTGCGGCTTGAGCACCGCGATCTCGCGGAGCGCCATGTCCTGTTCCCGGGGCGTGGGTCCTTCAGTCCTTGCACTACCTGAGCTGCGTGCTGCGCCGCCTCCCGCCTTGCTGGGCGGCCTGTGCGGTCGTTGCGATGGCGACCGCGACTGGACCTTCCCACAGAAGGTGCGCGCTTTGGGCATGTAGCACTTGGAGCAGTTAAGCCTGTCGGCGCGGTTCCACCACTCCGAGCCGCCCTTGCCCTAGCAGCTCTTGCATTCCCATGCACTGGCCCGTTCGCGCCTGCGGACCGTTGAGCTGCGCCCGCGGTGCTCACGTCGTGCTGCACCTCCACTCGAGCCTGCACCCCCTTGGCCCGCCACTGCTGCGCCGGCTCGGCTCCGCCGATGAGTGTCACACACTCTGGAGGCTGCCAAAGGCAGTAGGCGGCCACGAGGGCCACGAGATAGCAATTGCGAGCCGTCGCATTTGGCCTCAAAACACAAACCCCCATCTCGATCGAATTCGCCCGCGAACGGACACGCGGTCGTCGGGCGGTTCATTGCTTTGAACCAAAACGGCTACGGATGTGTGCGTATGTGTGCAAATATGTGTGCCTGTCTGTCTGTCTGTCTGTCTGTCCGTCCGTCTGTCTGTCTGTCTGTCTGTCTGTGTTGGTCTGTTTGTCTGTCTGTCTGTGTTGGTCTGTGTGTCAGTGTGTCTGTGTGTCTTTGTGTCTATGTGTCTGTGTGACTGTGTGTCTATGTGTCTGTCTGTGTCAGTGTGTCAGTGTGTCTGTGTGTCTGTGTGCCTGTGCGTATGTGTGTCTGTATGTCTGTGTGTGTATGTGTCTGTGTGCCTGTGTGCCTGTGTGCCTGTGCACCTGTGCCTGGTCTCGGTATCGGTACTGGCATCGGTATCGTTATCTGTGCCTGTGCCTGTCTGTCTGTTCGTCCTTGTGTCTGTGTGTGTGTCTGTGACTGTGTGTCTTTGTGTCTGTGTATTTGTGTTTCTGCGTGTCTGTATGTCTGTGCCTGTGTGTCTGTGCTTGTGTTTTTGCGTCTTTGTCTGTGTAGGTGTCTGTGTCTGTGCCTGCGTATCGTATGTGTCTGTGCCTGCGTATGTGTCTGTATCTGTGTATGTGCCTTTGTCTCTGTGTCTGTGTGTCTGTGTGTCTGTGTGTCTGTGTCTGTGTCTGTGTATGTGCCTGTGCCTGTGCCTACGCCTGTACCTGCCCCTGTGTTTGTACCTGTACCTGTGCCTGTGCCTGTGCAAGTGCTTGTGCCTGTGCCTGTGCCTGTCTGTGCGCCTGTGTGCAAGTGTGTCTTTGTGACTGTGTGTCTGTGTGTCTGTGTGTATGTTTGTCAGCGTGTCAGTGTGTCTGTGTGTGTCTGTGTGCCTTCGTATGTCTGTGTCTGTGTGCCTGTGTGTCTGTGTGCCTGTGTGTCTGTGTGCCTGTGTCTGTGTGTCTGTGTGTCAGTGTGTCTCTGTGTCTGTGTGTCCGTGTGTCTGTGTGTCTGCGTGTCTGTGTGTCTCTGCGTCAGTGTGTCTGTGCGTCTGTGTGCATGTGTGCCCGTTTGTCTGTGTGCATGTTTGTCAGTGTGTCAGTTTGTCAGTGTGTCTGTGTGTCTGTGTGCCTGTGTGTCTGTGTGCCTCTATGTGCCTCTGTGCCTCTGCGCGTCTGGTTTGCAGCGCGCACGCCGTCGGGGCGCCCCAAGGAGGCCCGACGATGGCGAGCGGGCCTTACGCCAGATGACGTGACGACCCTACGCGGTGGCTCACGCGGGCCCCCTGCACGCCACCTCGGCAGCGAGGGCGCCCACGCGCCATCCTACGCATGGGCAGAGGGATGTCGTCACGTGTTCCCCCCTCCCCACCGAATCGCCCTTGTCCTCCTCCTCTTCCTCCTCCTCCTCCTCCTCCTCCTCCTCCTCCGATTCGCATCACGTGACAGATCCGAGTCGCCGACACGTGGGCAGCTTACGCGCGAGGGCCGGCGCAGTCGAGCCCGCGTTTCTGCGGCAGCTCCGTTGGCGGCGCCCACGCGGGGGGCGGCGCGAGGAGCGCGGCCCTCCCAAGAGGGCGGCGGGGCTTCCGGGGAAAGCAGGGTGCCTCCTGCAACCCTCGTCAAAATTAACATCAAAAACGTCGATCGTGGCTGAACTGTTGGTGGGGAGATACTGGACAGAGCAGCGGTGACTGCGAGGTACTTGTACGCGCCGCTCCTCCAAGGTCGGTCATCATCGAACTTCCGAGTCGTTCCCGGTCGGCCCGGTCGGACCACTCTTGCCCTGGCTCCAACATTGAAGGGGCGCCTATCGACATCGAAGGGCGCGCCGACATCGCAGGGGCGTGGTCGCCATTTTTGAAGTTAATGTTGCCGAGGGTGGCAGAAGCCCTGCCGGCATCCAGGAAGCTTCTCTAAGAGGGCCCCTGCCCTCTGAGAAGCACCCCGCCCTCTTGGAAGCCCGCCCCCCTCGCGCCAACCCCCCTTGTGAGCGCCGCCGCGAGAATCAGGAGGAGGACCGCGGAGGAAAAGGCGGAGCCGAAGCATGAGGGGGAGCCGGAGGGGAACGATGAGGAGGACCAGCATCAGGAGCAAAACGACGAAGAGAAGAAGCAGGGGCGTGAGGGGGAGGAGGCAGGAGCAGTACCAGGAGGGAGGGGAGCAGGGAGGGGAGAGGCGGGTGGGCTGGAGCGGCCTGCAAGGTGGGGGTTGCAGCAGAGGCTTGCTTGGAGATATGGCGCAAAAAAGAGCTGGAGGAGCTCCTGCTTAGCAGGATACTGCATCGGACACGGTGGCTCGGACGTGACCGTGGGGGGGGAGAAGTGTGGGCGCAGTAGACCTGCCGACCACCAAGCGCCGCGCCCAGGAGCGCTTGGTCAGGCATGCTGCGGGGAAACGAATGAGCCGCCTTCGAATGCATGATGGATGTCCTTTCCTGTTCTCTCTCTGTCTCTCTCTCTTTCTCTTTCTCCTTCCACCTCGAAAGAACACTTTGAAAATAACAAAGGAATCAATCCATAAATAAACGCCCATCACAAAATATACAAAAATGAAAAACGCACCGCAGGGCATTCTTGGGCTCGGAGAGAGCTTCCTGCCGACAAGGCTGAAACATGTGCGCCAGGAGCGACCCGGCACGGTCGCAGTGAGCCTCCTGGCGACAACGCCAGCAACGCGGTTGGCTCGGGCGAGCTCAAGGAGGGTCGCAAAGTCGCCCTGGCAACTTGAACTCGGTGCCTTGACGTGATCGTAGAAAGATGGACGTGATCTAGATGCCGCATTGGCGGAACGCAGAGGGGGTATGGGGGAGGAGGGAAGGCTTCTTAGGAGGCTGCTTCTTAGAAGGTGCGAGCCTTACATCTACAGAGAAGGCCCGCGCCTTCTGAGAAGCACGGGTGCTTCTAAGAAGCCTTCCCATCTCCCCAGACCCCCCTCTGCGCGTGGCCGACTGCAACCAGAATTTCCAAAAAACGCCTACAATTCAAGAGGCCTGCGCGGGTCTCTTGGGCCCGCGCTGGACCTTCCCCTTGGTTGAGGGACAAAATCCTGCACCAGCCGCGCAACCGGGGCAACGGCGCAAACATCCCCGCGCCCCCCTGCCCCCGGTTCAATGTTGATTGGCTGCGCCCGCGGGTTGCAGGATTTAGGCCAGTCGGCAAATCGACAAATCGCACCACAGCCTGCCAATATTATATTTGGGCGCGGGTGGCGAAAACAAACATCTGAAAAGAGTGCAGGATTTTGTCCATCAACCGCTCCCCCGGAGCGCGCAGCGCGCCAGGCGCCACAGCGACGGCGCCAGGAATGCCACCGGAAGGGGTCCGGCACCGACCCCAGGCAAAAATCCGCGCGGGCCTCCGAGCGTGGGGAGACCAAAAGTACCGATGCCGCTGCTCCCCGGACTGCACGGTTTCCCCCAGGACCGTAATTAGGCGACCAGAGGAGGAGGAGGAGGAGGAGGAGGAGGAGGAGGAGGAGGAGGAGGAGGAGGAGGAGGAGGAGGAGGAGGAGGAGGAGGAGGGGGAGGAGGAGGAGGAGAGGAGGAGGAGGAGGAGGAGGAGGAGGAGGAGGAGTAGGAGGAGGAGGAGGAGGAGGAGGAGGGAGGAGGAGGGGGGAGGAGGGGAGGAGGGAGGAGGGGAGGAGGAGGAGGAGGAGGAGGAGGAGGAGGAGGAGGAGGAGGAGGAGAGGAGGAGGAGGAGGAGGAGGAGGAGGAGGAGGAGGAGGAGGAGGAGGAGGAGGAGGAGGAGGAGGAGGAGGAGGAGGAGGAGGAGGAGGAGGAGGAGGAGGAGGAGGAGGAGGAGGAGGGAGGAGGAGGAGGAGGAGGAGGAGGAGGAGGAGGAGGAGGAGGAGGAGGAGGAGGACGGGTCGCCTGAGCCCTTCGGAGAAACCCTCCACCCCAGACCGCTCCCGGGGCGCGTTCTGACCAGGACTCCGAGGCGAACCCGGCGGTGGCGACGAGAGCCTCCCGGGAGGCCCCCCGAAAAAGGGGAAGAGGCGGGAAGGATGGAGGCATGGGTACCTTCCCCTCCTCCGAGAAGGGCTATGCTTACGCAGCGCACTCTTCCTCGGCCAGCGGCGCCTCGAGGGCCGGCCCGCCCCCGGCCACTGCCAGATCTCCGGCCACCGCTGGCGCCAGCCTGCAGGCCTCCGCCGCGCCCGCCTGCTCTCCCGCAGGCTTGCCGCGAACCGCCAGGCCTCCCCCGCGAACCCCCTTCATCCCGTTGCTCTTATGTATATCTGTATAGATACATATTTATGTATATATGTTGTTATATATATACATATATACACGCATGGGCGATTTCGGAAACCCTGGATCCAAAAACGCTGGGCGCCCGAAATTATCCGGGGCAACTCGGGTTCGGGGTAACTCGGGTTTGGATTCCCGAAAAAAAACCAGCCCGAGTCAGCCCTGACCCGAGCTACCCCTGATGATTTGGGGCTTCGGACGCCCGAAGTATCAAAAGTGACCTCTGGCCCGGGGAAACTCGGGTTCGGAATCCCGAAAGATGAACCCGAGTTAGCCCTGACCCGAGTTGCCCCTGATGATTCGGGGCCTCGGACGCCCGAAGCATCCGGGGTAACTCGGGCCCGGGGTACCTCGGGCTCGGAATCCCGAAACATGAACCCGAGTTAGCCCCGACCCGAGTGACCCCTGATGATTCGGGGCTCTGGAAACGTTCGGGCGTTGGCAGA